TTGACCGGGTATCGCGACCAGGCAGCTGATAAAAGAGGAAGAAGGCCAATTTTCAAAGGGTTCCGAGTTTTTGAGAGAGAAATCGATTCCTAGAGAGAGAAAGCGTCGAACCAGAGTTCCCAAGCGCCATAGATCGATCTTCAACACCGTTGGAGCCCGTCTTGAGCTTGGAGAAGTGCGATTAAACGTCCAGGAGCAGGAATCCAACTTCACAGTATGATTTCCGTGTCTGAATCTGCTTTTGCTTCTTTCTCTATGGAGTAGTTTCCCCATTCATCTGGGTATGGAGAACCCTAGATTTGTATGCTAGGTCTGATTGTATGAACCCAAGTACAGAGTTTGTGAATTGATTATATTCGACTGAGGTTTGAATGATTGAATGACTTGAATCCTGATCAAATTCCTGTTGTTTCTGCTTTAACCTAGAATGAGAATATCTGCCTAGGTTGATAGAGTATCCTTAATCGAAGGTGGCGAATTGGTGACTTTAGTCGAGAAGCCAATTCGCTATTCTGTACCGAAGTCAATTCGGTAGTGGAGGTTTGGTTCATTAGGGCCTCAATCTGTTTACTCCGGTGGAGGTTAGTCGCCCGCTAGAGACTCAGATTGAGAGGGTCTGGAGACCTTTAGTCGAGACTTCAGGCTAATTGAGAACCTTCCGCAGTATAACCTTCATGAAAACTGAACTTGGCAAATTGCAATCCGACTTAACTGCAGTCTAGGGGGAAACCATATCCGGGTGACCTCTCTTGACTTGACAACAAACCGTTTACTTGCTCTGTGTTTTGTTTGCTTGAGTTTCACTAAAAGTTCACTGCTAAATAACAAGAATTCACCGAGTAGTCATCACATCTAGGACCCGGGTTGACATTAAAACCCGACCCGCTATACTACGCTTTAGGAATTGGTTATACTTGGCCATTTTCTAGGGTGACAGTAGGAGTGAGTCAGGAGCTAAATATGATTTTTTCATCAGCCACACTAATGCGTTCGCTTCGCTCAGTAGTTACCTCTGTCGCCGTCGTTACTTCGTTTGGTTTAATTAGTAGCTCGTTCCGCCGCTGCCATGGTCGAAACTGTGATCGGTAGTTTGCTCCAGCATCACTATCGTGTGATTCGAAGGAAGATGACACGGAATACACTGAGGAGAGAGAAAGAAGCTGATGACCGAATAAAATACAATTTTTAAATATGGAAAAAGTGTCTCTCTACTGCTTTTTAACCTAGCTAAAGCTGGTCAAAGACTGGAATTAAAAAGTATGCAAAATGGTAGCTTCTGATTGGCTCCCTTAAGTTGTTGTCACTATAACAACAAATATGGCATTGTCCATATTGGCTCCCCTAATGAAATTATCAGAAAAGGAAGCGAAAACTGGTTGGGCATAAGTATTAAAGCGTTCTTTGTCATTGGTAGGCTTCGATTAAGGGGCATTTTGTCTAGAATTTGAAACCATATGGACAAATCCTGTGGCCCGACCCGGATCGACGAATCAGCAATATAGTTGGTCGTGCACGACCATGACCCTGGAAAAAAACCTACCTACCTTGATAAGGTTGAGTGGTTAACAAGTAAAATGCTATTACCCAGACCATGCGGCGGCAACCAAATGTATTGGATACGATAAACACTCGTCCCGTTAATGTATGCTCATATTAAGGGTGGGCACGTGGGTGTGTAATCCTCGGTTTGACATCGACCCACCCACAAATAATCGAACCCGCAGTAGATGGGTGATTGATGTGGGTGGATTGTGGATCAACAAATCTCCAACCCGCACTTATCGGGTGGGTGATGAGTGGGTTGCAGGTCATCCGAATGACCCACACCCCATTTTTATATGAAAATAGTTATTTTTTATACTATTGAATAGTTATGTCTTTTTTAACCGACACTACGTTCTATCCATCGACTACTAAAGGCAAAAAATAAAGAATATTTTTGGGCTACTACTATTGATCACTCTGTTGTATAATGTCGTTGAATATCGAGATTCAAAATTATAAACTATTAGTTGTATCTAAGTCTTAAAAAATGTGAACTTCTTTACACATTTGGTTGATGAAGTGCACAAGTATTAGACGCCTTCCTAACTCATTTCAGAAGACTAATACATATTTATCAAATCCCATTCTCAATTTGGTTTATAGCCGAGTAAAATTCGTACAATTGTATGACTCGCTTTTAAAATGTCATTACTTATTTCCTATAATTATATAGCAAAGTTTGTCATACAAAACCAATATTTGAGTTCTCTTAAGGTGTTGTCTATGTACAAAGTAAAAAAGTGCACCTCAAACTTTTTGTGTTACTCTACTTGAATCTATGAAATCATATTCCACTAGTATGAATCTTACCATCTACACACTCATTATTGTTTCCAATGCAGGGGACAAGTGTCACATCCCGATCTCTAAAATCCTTAAATAACAGTTTTGCTCCGGAACATATTTAAAATTTTGAAAGAAAGAAATAATAATGTGCTCAAAATACCAATACTGAAAAATACATCTTATAATTTAAAAGCAAAGCCCTAACATTTGGGCAAACCTCAATCCATAAAGTCTTATCCTTTTAAATCTCCAGTCATTATTCACAATCATAACTCAAATAGAGCATCTAAGATAATATCTCAAATAAAATGTGCTTTATCAATCACGACATAAATCAATCATTGGTATACAATTCACATAAACACACATACTTAAAACTCGTAAGTCAAATACTTGAAAATTCGTAAGGTATAGAATTTACCCCCTTAAACCACTCACCTTCTTAATCAAATCGAATGACTTGATCTAAACACCAACTTATGTGAGTCCCTTCGCCTTTATCATCCTCGTAAGTGCTTGCAATCGCCACATCCAAATCAAGTAGCGGCCGACTATTTATGTTGTACCTTTAAAGCATCAAAAGCCAACCTACTTCGTAACCCGGTTCATGTCGTTCAGGAGCCAAAAGTAATCATGTAACCCACTCATAATATTCCTAGTGAATGTGTGCTTGCATGGCTAGCTCCATCTCACTTCACAATTCCCATACGTGGTTCATTAGTCCCAATTCTTGCCTTCCATTTTGCTTACGGGTACTTTCTTCATTATTATAATTACCACACTAATTAACCTCTCTCATCTCTTATATTTTGCGAGTGAGAGTGAGAGTGAGATTGATTCTCACCTTCTTGTATAATAATAATAATAATAATAATAATAATAATAATAATAATAGCTCTCATTACTGTTATTCCTAATTCATGTACGATTGCAAATCTTTGTACGTAATCGTTAATCCAACCGTTCATTTAGTATGGTCGAACCTGAACCCAAATATCGGGGTGTTACAACAAGTGATCAAAATTGTACTCAAGAACTCCTTGATTAATAATTTTCCATGTTGTAGTTCCTAACCAACCCCAAACAAGCAAGTCTATGTAATCACGTAAGTATACATTGAAAAACATGTAGCACAACCTTTCTCCGCTGAAGAACTATACACATTTCAGCAAACTCATATGCATCTGGTACTCATTTATGCCCTTTCAATCTATCTCATTACAAATGTTCTTCTAATCTCCTTGCACCTTACAAGTTGTACATCAACTATTGTACCCTTTAAAATTATGCATATATGATCCAACAAAAACACGTATTGTACATATTTATGAGCATATAAATTATGATTCCCATCATTTAGGGGGAAAAGAACACTCAGCATTTTCTAAGGCTAAATATGTATCAAACTTAGCTCATTTCATTATGTTTGTGATGTTAGATAAATATTATAGCAACCTCACTTGCACAATAAGGGCTAACAATTTTGCGACTATCGCAGGGAAATTACTACATTGTTCATGACTTTGTCTCAAATTTACCTGTGGTATGATCACCAAATAGGATGTAGTTCATAGTCATCTTAGTATTGTCGATGATTATACAAATGTCATGTCTCTTTTATATGGAGAAATTTTTGACCAAATAATTGTTGCGGTGTTCTCACCCAAGAAAGATGAATATGGGTACAATCACTTCATCAACGCATTCAAATCCATCTGATGACAATCATTTAGTTTCATGATGAAACATGACTATGCGTGCATCATGTACTCCTTACAACGATTTTATGATTGAAAGCAACTTGCATGTAAGGACCTTCATTCTATTACTAACATGTCAACTCTAAACATTTTCAAATCTCTAATTATACTTTATTACAGTTCCATCTATCGAGAAACCCTCTACAGTTCCTATTTCATCACTAACTCACGAACGATCTGCCAAATGTGTGTGCAATATTTGTAACCCAATGCTCAATTTACATATACAAAAAATCTAAATCTATCAAGAATTGTAAAATCGTACTTGTAAAACCGTGGTCAAATCGTTTCATATGGAAAAAATCTTATACTAGCTAGCTTGAGCTCGACTAGAAGGTTTTTGGGTCGAATCGCCAGTACAATATGGTTTCACAAACACTGAAACCTATCCGGCCAACAGACCGGACTCTACTTTAGTTTTTATGCAAAATAGTTGTTTTGTTTATACTACCAAATAGCTATCGTATTTTTTAACCGACACTACATTCTATCCATTGACTACTAAAGGCGAAAAATAAAGAATATTTTTAGGCCACTAAAATTACTTTTAAAGTACATTTTTGCCACTAAAATTAATTTATTCCATCCGTAGTCACTTAAGTTAGTTCAACAGTTCAAGTTTGGTCACTCTCTGTTAAATTTTTCTGACGTGGCAGTCAACTCTGATAGTTGACCGTTAAGTTAATGACATGGCAATTAAAAAATTAATATTTTACTTTTTCACCTCATTATCAAAATTATTAAAAAATAAACCTAATTACCTAATTGAATCATTCCTACCCGCCCCTCACCGTCGCTCTTCCCTTACCTCTCTTTGATCACTCCCAGTGGCAACCCACACAGTCAATTTCTGGTTCGCATGAAATAAAAGAAAAAGGGGCCTAAGTTGAAGGTGAGAGATGGAAAAAGATGTTGATTTGTACCAATCCCGACGATCGCGTGAAGAAGCGTGGCGTGGTTCTGGAGGAGCTGCTGAGCTCGATTAGCTTGACGTTTGCGATGACCAGCCGCGACGAAGACGAAGGAGGATTAGCAGCATCAGCTCGCGACCACCTCGATTTGCCGAAATTGGTCAAAGCTCTGCTGTGGTTCTGTAAATCGAACGGCAACAGAATCCCCGCCAAGCAGAACTCGCTCGTCGCGCTCAAGGAATTGTTGGTTTCTTCGTCTTTCCTAAGATCTCCAAATCCTATTTGTATTCCTGAGATCTCCAATTTCCCTCGTCATAACCAAGCTCTCCCTAACTCTGATCTTCCAGCTCCTACAGACCCCAACCTCGAAATCCAACGACTGCTTCAAATCATCCTTAAACGAAGCCGGCACCGTCTCGTTCCTCCTAGAGATGATAATCTCCTCCTCGAAAGAACACAGCGTGAGCGAGAAGGCGTTGGGGATTCTGAACTAGCTCTGCGACGATTCCAAGGGCATAGCCGCTGTGTCGGGGAACTCCTTGTCGGTGGCCCTACTGGTGAAAAAGATCCTGAGGATATCGACGACGGCAACGAATTTTTCCGTCTCGATGATTTGGAAGCTCGGGAGGTGCGACCAGAGGGCGCTTGTGGAAGGGCTTCAGGTCGGGGGAGTTTAAGAAGTTGGTATTGGTTCTGCAGCACGGGTGCATGGAAGAGGCAAAGAAGAAGGCGATGGCGGTTCTGAAGATGATGAATACTTTCGGAATGACAATGCGGGCTTCAGGTCGGGGAGCTTCAATTTGTAAGTTGTCACTTAGCTAGCTATGTATTATTGCTTGCAACTGGGAGTGATGGAGAGAGAGGTAGGGGGAAGAGCTACGAAATGACGGCGAGAGTTGGGTTGGGATGATTCAAGGAAAAAATCCCAGTATACACTAGTAATTAAAAAAATTCCCAAAATACGTTCGTTATAATGTTTTTTCCAAAGTACACATGTTTGACATTCACCGCTTTGTCTAAGGTAGTGAATGCAATCCACGTCGAGAAGAAAGGCGTTGATAGATTCACCGCGTATAACAAAAACGGTGAAGCAATCACCACCGCTAAGTAAAACGGTGAAGGCGCAGGGAACCAATCACCGCGTTTAACTAAAACGCTGAACCCTTCTCTGTTTTAATTAAAAGCGGTGATTGGTTCCCCGCATCGAACTCCCTGTTGTCCATGTCAGCGATCCACGTGTGGAGTGGTGGTCGGCATCTACCTCATTGTTTTGGTCGGTGGATTTCTGTTCCCCGACAAGGCAAACAGTTGGATTCAAGGCATATGGTTGCAATTGCTCACCGATGACTGGGACGCGATCGGGGAAAAGAGTTGGGACCTGTATTTAGTATTGTGTTGGTGCCTCACGGAATGCCACCTCATATTCGTCGATCTCGTCCGTATCTTCCTCCTCACAGACTGATCTCAAATCTTCTTCACTTCCCTCGTCAGTGGAGGAGAATGGATAGCTCAGCCTAGGATGATCATCGTGACCTGCATCACCAGCATCGTCTTCTCGCTCGTGCGAAGTACACCCAGATCGAAAGGTGTTCTCAATGTCAGCCCACTCTGGCTCCCAAGCATGCCATTGGACGTCGTCGGACTCAACAAATGGGGCAGGCTGAGCATGTTGCGGGTATTCTTCCCATGTCACACCTCTTGCAGAACTACCTTCTCCGTAGTTGCTTAAACTACCACCCAATCCTAAGGATGGCAACAAAACCCGAACCCATGGGTACCCACCCGACCCAACTCGGTCAACGCGGGTAAAACCCGCGTTGACGGGTTTTGGGTCGGGGTCGGGTTTAAACCCATCCACTATTCCCCGGGTTGGGTTGGGTTTGGGTTTAGGTAAACCCGCCCCATGGGTACCCTCCCACACCCATATAATTAATTTTCTCGGTATATTTAATACTCTAAACAACTAATCTTATTTATGTTTGTGGAGACATGTCTAATTTTTTCTTTCTAATTGTGTAGAATGAAGTTGATGTTATCGAGTGGAGAGTGAAGAAACTTAATTGACAAGGAGGAAGAAGTTTTCAATTAATCATGTTATTTATGGATAATTTGTGATTTGCTTTAATTTTCTTAAGTTTTCTAGATTGGTGTTGAATAATTTGAATAGTTAATTTGTGATTTGCTTGAATTTTCTAGAATGGTGTTTTATATATACATAATTTGTATTGAGAGATTGATATTTGACTTTAATTTTGATAGGAACTTGTTATTGTAAAATTTTTACGACAAAAACCCGTGGGTACCCATGAACCCGCGGATACCCAGCGGGTTGGGTTAGGTTTGAGTTTTTCAAACCCAGTGGGTTTTACCCTGGGTTTTTTTCACGGATAAACCCATGGGTTTGGGTTTGGGAAAACCCGACCCAACCCGACCCATTGCCATCCCTACCCAATCCGTACCCTCCTGTGTAACCACCTCCTTCGTAGTTGCTTGAACTACCACCCCATTCGTACCTTCCTGCAAAACCATCATCATAAGAATATTGGTGAGAATGAGTTTCACCAACCACCTCGGTCTCAACATACACCTCTGCAAGCCGCATCCCGTTATTGCTGAGGAACTGTAATATCATGGTAACCGCGTTATCATCGTTTATGACAACTTCTTGGTACACAACCCCGTCAGCACTCATGTCTGGATACCGGTAAGTAATTTTTCCAACTCTCGTCTGTCCGCTCGTACAAACCCTGTCTGCACAAATGTCATAGAATTCTTGCCACGTGAATCGCGACTCAATTTTCAACATAGTGGATTCCCCGTCTTCATAATCAATCACAATGTCAGAGTTTGTCACCATGCCATTCCATCGAATAATAAGCTGAAACTTCTTGAATTTACCCATATATGCAATTTACAATAAGTTACTATTAGCTTAAGTCCAATAAAAATTAACGAAAACCATATTTTATGACTACGAAAATAATATTACACCATCTCATAACTAACATAACATAAATTCAACTAACTAACAGCAACGTAAATTCATAACTAACATAACATATTTGCTAAGAACAGTAATTCATTACATACATATAACTACTAAAACATCATTATATAAACAATACAAAATTAAATCATACCGAAAAATTGCTTTTGTAGGTATGTTGCTGGGATCTTTGCTTAAATTTGACAGAGGAGGGAGGGGGAGAGTGTTTTTCCAACTGCTCGTGGGAGGGGTATATATATGAAAACCAGAGAGCATTCACCGCCTTTGTTGACAGCGGTGAAGGTGATCAATGCGTTGCCCTAAGGCGGTGAACTAGGTGGTTGTGACCTAATTTCCACCTACGAGGGCTAGAAAACGTGGAAAACTATCACTGCCGTAACGTAGTGTTGTGAATAGTTTCCCCACCTTAACCTAGCGCGGTGAAGGCATTCCCCGCTTTGCACTAAGGCGGTGATTTCTTCACTGCTGTAAACAAACATGGGGAAGTTTCACCTTTTTTGTTAAACGCGGTGAATCTTTCACTGCCTTTCTTCTCGGCGGGGATTACATTCACTGCCTTAGACAAAGGCGGTGAATGTCAAACATGTGTACTTTGGGAAATTTTTTTTTATAACTAACGTATTTTGTGAATTTTTTTTAATTACTAGTGGATACAGGAATTTTTTCCATGATTCAATTAGATGATTATGTTTTATTTTTTATATTTTAATAATTTTGATAATGAGGTGGAAAAATATTAATTTTAATAGTTTTTAATTGCCACGTCACTAACTTAATGGTCAACTATCAAAGTTGACTGCCACGTCAAAAAAAATTAAGTGAGACTAACAGAGAGTAACTAAAGTTTAACTGTTTAACTAATTTGAGTGACTGCGAATGGAATAAATTAATTTTAGTACCAAACGTGAACTCTATAAGTAATTCTAGTAACTAAACTTGCAATTTACCCAATTATAAATTATTAGTTGTCTCTAAGTCTTAAAAAAACGTGAACTTGCTTTACACATTTGGTTGATGAAGTACACAAGTATTAGACGTCCACAGGAAATAGATTGGGAGGTGTCTAAATTGATGTCATCTTATTAATTTAAGAGGAATTTATTATAAATGTACCGTTAACTTGCCTAATTACTAGTTGGAAAATTATATTTGTGTGTTAACTCACAACCCAATCGCATTCATTCACCATCCACCCAACTCGAAGAAGTGTGTGGATAGATTGCGGGTCAAAATTGTACCAACTAATTAGTAAGCGGGTCGAGGAAAACCCACCTAACACACATTATTATCATGTAAATTAGCAAAGTCTAATATAATAGATTAGATGGATAATAAGTTAATAACAGTTGCACAAGGCCTCCATATTTTCCAGGCAAAAGACATCCACCGTCAACTTCCATGATAATCTCAAAAGTTGCTTTTCATTCCAAACATCACCTTGATCAATGTAAATTCTCGACGGACAAAGGCAAATTCACAACTTGGAATAGTTGTCCAAAGCACCCGTGTCTTCCTCGCAAACCTCCCTCTTAATCTTCTTCCACTCCAAGGACGCGCGATCAGTGATCCTCAATCTTCTTCAGTCCCTTCATGTCTGTTGTTTCCACCCTATAAACCACACAGAAGAGAATTCATTACAGGAAGATCGTCCAACAGGCAGAAAGCAAGGGAAAAAGGGATCTATGTTTCTACGAACTACAAATATAGAATCTCACGGTCTGCTACAACCTGATACCAGCCAAGCTAAATGACAAACATCCTAGCATCAATTGATCTAGTCAATGAACCTCTTGCACTACTGCATCAATTCAGGAATGTTCCATGATTCTGAGACTCTAAGTCTCTGTATATATCCCCCAAATGACAGCTGATTACATAATCTTCCACTTGCTCAAGGAATCAGAACAATCAGGAAAGTTACGCCCTAAACATACCATCATGTACAACATCCCGAGTTTTTGTTTAACTATCGCCTAATCACTAAGGATTAGGGTGATTAGATTCACAACCAAGAGGTCAAACAATTGCAGAGAATAAATAGCACAAAAATCCTTGAAAAATACTTACGTTGTTCCGAAGAAGGCAATCTTTTGAACTTTAGTAACATCACCACCAGACTGATTGTCTTCGATGAAAATTGTCACGCTGGCCAGAATTTATACGATACGATCAAATTGTGGCATGTATAACAACAATGAGGAACCAATTCAAGAAATCAACTATCAACTTACCTACGAACATTCTGAAACTTTACATACTTCAACACTACAGGTTTCCCAGCCTACAGCAAACAAACCAAAGTCAACTCACAATGCAAAACAGACTCTCTGGAAGTGATTGCCAGTTCCTGATGAGAAATCCAGATTCTAACAGCAGCACCACTAGAAACACATGTCTACCTGAATATTTTCTGCAGAAAACTCTACGGTATCACTGGGAGGGAAGTCATTAACATTGCTGCCAGAGAAAAACAAAGCATCAGACAACAGATCCTTTGCCGTGTTCCTACAAACAACAACCAAACTAAAGCTGTTAGGGTCAAAGAATACCTGAACCCCATGTGCTCCCTGTTTGAGTAGAGCTTCACAGTTTTGGGACCTGGAAGACGATTAAAGGGTGTCATATTGTAACATCAGAATCAAATGATAGTATAATCAGAGACCTGCATGGAGATGATAACCGCAAAACCTTGACTAGATGGGAAAAACACAAGTACAAAGAAAGTTCACGAGGATACGTACCCTCTTCTTCAGGCCCTTTGACAGCGAGAGAGTGCAGTTTAACAACTTGAAGG